TGAAATATTAGAGAAAGATATGGGTATTTTTGTTGTTACTTGAACTTCAGGTATGAAGTAACCAAAAAGGTTAACAGCTCTATCCAGAGTGCTTTATAAGCAGCAGGAATCCACTTGCCAGTGCCAACATTTGCACATTGTGTTCTAGACTGATTATTTCATCCAAATGTTGCCATTTCTGTTTATTTATCTTTATGTCTGGAATGCCGAAGGAGCTCTTTTAAATATTTATCCAGTTGTTCAAGATGGTGAGTGGAGTATCCATAACACCTAATGTCTAAGACTCAGTTGTTGTATGACACAAATAAGGCATGGTATTTGTTTGAATCTTTTCCCTCTTAGGGGGACCGAAAATAGAAGCTGAGTTTGTAAAGAGCTTGAAATTAAATTACTCTGTGAGCTGTCCTCACTACGCACATGCATGCCCTCACCCTGCTAAAATGTGAGCCGCATGCTGGGACTATGTGTTTTCTGACACTATAATAATTAGTGCTGAGATGGGAGTTGGGAAACTTGACAAGTTAGCAAACCTTCTTTATTTTCTCCTGATCAAAGCTGTCAAGAGCAGAGTTTCAAAGGGTCTTTCTAATTGTTCCCGTGGTATATGCAGGCACATCTGTTTTTGGTGTTCACAACACTGCATCAGCATTCACCCTTTTGAAATTCTGGCTGCTAAAATCAGTGGAAAACTTGTGGAGTCAAGAAAACAGAGGACAAGAAAACAAATACGTGCTTTCTTCGCAATTATATTACAGTGTCTAAAAGGTCTGCTTGAACTGTGTTGTAAAATACGACTGGCAAGTGGTGGGTCTTCTGACAACAGGACACAGCCCAGACATGGCTCTGTAGGAGATGGCTCCAGCTCCTGCCCAGCTGTATGAGCCCTCGGTGTAATAGGCATTTCTTGAGAATGGCCCACTCCTTCCTGAGAGATCTGTCTGGTGGCAACAAGGCAGTGGTACATGTAAGGTTGGCGGGGCTGTGAAGATAGAGCTGCAGAGAGAGGTCAGAGTTGTGATTCCTCTCTGGGGCATAGGGCTCATGTCTTCCTGAACTAGGAACTATGCACTAGTCTGTTTGTGGTGGCACAGTTTGAAATGCACAAAAAAGCTTCTGTCTTGAAACGTGTTCCTAATGCTTCTTTGAACCGTTCAGCGTCTTCAACTCCCTTTGACTTTTAGAAGTAGATGTTTTGTGTTTGTGCACTTCAGGAGAATAAACCACCTTTCACATAGTCTGCACAGTTTTCGTATGCTTGTCCATACCTGTTTTAGCACATGGGTCAAGTACCATAAGTGCATACTTTGGTGCCTATGTGCACACTCAGTTGCAACCATTATAAACAATCCTACACAATTGTCTGCCAGACCATATCTGAGCCATAAAACTCACTACATGGGAAATCTGGGAGCACTGGCATGACAAACAGCATCTGTATTTAAAATGAATCAGACAGACGTTGGGAAATTGGAGCAACATCATGGGGACATCAGCAGAGCACCCACAGGAATGTTCTTTATTGCCTCTACCTGAGGAGCAGCTCATGCTTTTTAGTAATGCTGTTGCACCCCATATGCCTCCAGCATTCACTCCAAAATATAACTGCTACTGCTTCTATTTTTGTTTTTCTCCTGGAAAATAACAGAATTTACAGGAAATGACAGGTTGGTGGTTCTGCAAGGAGACAGACTGCTTGACTGAACAGCCCTGTCCATCTTCAGTTTCCACAATTCCGTGAAAGTCAAATTGCAGTCACTATGAAAAAGTTGCAGAGAAAGGGAAGGACAGTTATTTTTGCAGCTCTGTCATGCTTAATGTGCACATTGCAGCTCAGCTGCTGCTGCAGTCCAGCTGGCAGAACCACTGACTGGGATATTGACTGTGACAACTCCAAGCCCAGCATGGCCAAATGCTTTACCTCTACAATTGGTTGCTCAGCTAAGTCTGTGCTCAGCTGCTCTTGCAAACACAGGCAGGCCTTTTGCTGAATGAACGTTGCTTTCTTTTGTAGAAAACAAAGAATCTACAGGATTCCTGAGGAACAAAGCCCAGGAACTGTTGTTGCCAATATAACAGCTAAAGATCCTGATGATGAAGACTCTCCTAGCAGACTTTTCTACAGCATCCAGTCTTCTGACACATATTTCTCCATAAATCCATGTAAGACAAACAAAAACATACCTTCTGACTCTCTCGAAAAAGAGAGTGACCACACAGAAGATGTTTTTGCCTGATTGTTTCTGACTTTAGTGTCTCTCCCTATAAAAAAGAAATTCTCAGCATGTTTTTAGGGCCAAGTTCCTCCATCAGCTGAATAAAATTAAGTAAAATATATTAAAGAAAGTAGACCAAAGGTGATTTATTGACAAATGTTTTTTTATGGCTGGAGATTGATGATTCCTTGAGTGGAAGTTGAATCAGCTGCCTTTTTCTCTAACAGTTGTAGTGACTTTTCTGGGGCTCTTGCAATGGCTGCAAGTACTTGGACCACAGCTTGCTCTCTCCTACATGAAATCTGCTCTAGCACTGTGATGCACAAAATCTGCTGCTCAGCTTCATGGCTTTATTCATGCCCCTATTCAGGTGAGGCCATTCTAACGAGTCATCTCCTGTGTGCTGGTCCCAAGTCCCCATGCTCTCTGGGATGCACCCATGTCTGTCCTGAGGATTTTGCTCCTAGAGCTGTAATTCAGCTCTGTCCCTCACCTGCTATTGTTTTAAAGATGTTTATCACAGTGGTAGAATATGCCACCCAGCTGTGGGATATCAAGATTATCCTCACATGCTTTAGATTCCCTGTGCCCTTTGGCTGTGCATTGCTACTATCCCTCTCAATTACACTCCAAAAGGTAGAGGATATACAAACTGTTCCTTTATCTCCTCAGGACTCTGGCAACAGTATTGTGTTCTGCCAGAACAATCTTCTCTTTTTTGGATAGAGGCTAACAGAATTGAAGAAGTAATTAATTGAACGGCTGATCAGAGCACTTGACACAAGCCGAGAGCAGATCTTTTGATATATGAGTAGATTTAGATGTGGTGAAGTGTGCTTGAAATACAACAGCAGAAAGTTAAGCCATCTCACTAGTTAGAGAACAAGGACAGCATGGCCTGCTCATTGTGCTTGCTGCTTGATGAGTGCACTCAGCTCTGACTTGCACCATTTCCTTGAGAGTGTAATGAAATCTAAGTGCTTTTCAAGCCCTCTGCTGAGGTTGCCACTGGTGTATTTTTGAGCAGTGGGTATTTATCTATGAAAGGCTTACGCAGAGCTATCAAAGCCATTTTGTATCATTTTAAAAAGTAGTTAAACCAGTCATAATTTCTGGAGAACAAAAGACTTCAGCTTGCTACCTGTATGCTGAGCTACCCCGTCCTCCCACAAGTATGCCACGAGTGTTTACTGCCTCCCCTGTGGGTGAGCATCTAACTGCTGGCTGCTTTTCCCCAGCAACTGGAGTGCTGCAGGTGTCCGGGAGAATCGACCGTGATGTCCTTCCCCTGCAGCTCCATCCCAATGTCTCCATGATAATCCGGGTGGAGGACAGCCCTCGTGTGGGGCACTCCAGTGAAATGGAGATCACAGTCATCATTGGAGATATCAATGACAACCCACCAGAATGCAATCCCTCCACCTTCAGGTACTGATGCTCTGATTGCCTTAGTACTGCCTTGTTGCCACAGCCCAGTGCCCAGTGTAGGGCACATCGCTTAGGGTCCTCAGATCTCAGAGCCTCTTGTCATATATGTCTGTGCAAAGTAAACTAGTCATGGACTTTGCCATGGCTCTGAACTCTCTGAGACCTTTGTGAGCTTTTCAAGAACAATGGAGATGTGGCACTGAGGGGTGTAGTTAGTGAACGTGGTGGGGATGGGTTGGTGGCTGGACTAGATGATTTTAAAGTTGTTTTCCAACATTAAAGAATCAATGATTCTATGATGATCAGCTGGCTTATGTTTGTAGATGAGGATATGACATTATATCAATTTCGCAGAAAGACTGAGGTCAAAATTGTCCATCTGAAGTGCTGGATGTCCCATGCTGTAGGGGGCACAGCACTTTATAGGGTAGTTCCCAGAGTACTGGACTGTCTAGTCCAAAGATGGACTGTTCTGCAAATAAAGATCCAGCATCTCATGCCAAGGCCTCTGCAGTGAGATATTCCTGGTTAGTAGGTGTCTGTTTAAATTGTTTGCTCACTAGCTAAGATAAATGTCTTGCGTTTATATCATGTAGTTTTATGGACTAGCAGGAAAAGAATCCAATTCTTCAGAGCACTGCTTGGTTACAGTGTCCATGATGACAGCACAACAGTCTCTGTGGTCCATTGAGCTCAAACTTTCATCTGAATGAGGCAAAAGTCTTCAGGGGAGAAATGAGAGACTGTATATAGGGATTGTACAAGGGAACATCAGGGCATAATGGCATTTCAGTTAGTTCTTTATTCTTTTATGTCTTACTTTCTTGATTAAGATAAAATCGGCACCCTCCATTACCAGTTCCATCACATGCGTCACTGAGACCATCACTGTCAACAGCAGGGCCAGAAACACTAGCTTTACAAGGCAGCAGAATGATCCAGGTATTAGTTAAGGAGAAAAGAATGAACTTCTCATCAGGAAAACATTATAATGTAATGAAAAAATGAGTGTTGTAAAGATGTTTTAAAATACAAATTAGGAACTGAAATAATCTTGAGCATTAAAATCTCATGGTGCCTTCTGTAGTTCAGTGGATTTTCAAGGTCTTGGTTTTGGGTCTGTGTGCTGCTCATTACATGGGGCTGTTATCCACCACAGCATATGGTTCAGATTCTAGATTGCTTCATCAGCTGTTGTCTATTTAGATCTAGGATTTCATTTAGAAAATAAATGGAAGTACGTCGATGTTTTGGCATGGACTATATGAAGAATTCAAGAGGAGAAATATAAGGAGCTCTGATGGGAAACATGTTTCTTTTAAACAGGAAAGAAATAAATGAAAATACTACTGCTGGGATAGTTCTTCTTGATCTCAGAAACAGCTGTAGAGATATTGATGTTGATCCACCAAACAATCTATTTAGTTTCACTGGATTATCTGGTTTTGGAAGCAACAACTTTGCTCTGGAGTCTGCGGAGTCCGGAAGACTTGTGGTCAGTCATTTGTAGCTTTATGTCAAGTGGACTCGCTGTAGAAAGCATCTTATGAGTTTTCACATAGGACGTTTCTTACTTTGGAGTTTTTGCCTGTACAAGAAAAAGGAATTACTGTAATTCATGTTGAAATAGAGTGAGTTGGTGAGAATGATTTGATTAGATGTAAGCTACAGACCCTTTAATAGGACGGTTCCTATGGATCCTACTGAGTTTGGAAGACAGAGGGCTGTTTTAAATCAAAGTGCTAGATAGGACTGAAAAAAAAGTTTTTTAGGGCATGTGAAGCACCAACTTTGAAATGGTTAAGCAAAGCAATCTGATACCATCTCATACCTATTTATTCACGATAGATCATGGAAGATCTTTCTCTCCAGTGTGAAGGACTGCAATATGGTAAATGTGGTAAATATTCACAAAAGTGTGGTGGGATTTGTACTTTGTGTGATTTGACGTGTCAAAATATGACTTCCTTATGCTAATAGCTACTGTAAAATTTGCATTTGCCAGAATCCCCACCAGCTGCTGGACATGTGCAGTGACGGTTGCTTTGCTGCTTTAAAAAGAACCACAGACAAATACAGAAAAAAGAAACCCCACGAACTGTAGAGAGAGCACAGGCATTCTGCCTAAAAGACAAATATGTGATAGGTGCAGTAAAATGATTTTGTATGACTAACGCTGGTTTTTTCTTAGAAGCATGTATGTGAATGACCACCATCCTTAGCTGCTTCATCTGCCAGCACACAAGACATTTTCAGTGCTGCACAGGATACGACTGTTGTCATCTCTTTGATCACTGTGCTTGTGTAATGTAATAGGCTATCTGAAGCGTCCCATCTCTCCAGGAGTTTTCCTATAGACAAAAAGCAGTGGATGCCTGTGCTTTAATCTCACTGCCCCAGAATTTATAAGGCTCTTGCAGAGAGAGAGTTCAGGAGATTAGGATTTAAAGCTCTATGTGAGCCACTGTTTAGTAGCTATTTAGTTCCTGGATAAACAGTTGTGGCTGAACCTGATACCTTTAATATAGGTCTGCACACCTGAGCTCAAGGAGTAACTATTGCTATTTAGCAATCACAGGCCCGTGTTGAGCCAACAAAGGGCATGGTAAATAGCCAGCTCATTACCTGCACTTGGAATTAAGCAGGTAAAAGGCAAAGACCCTGTGCTCAAATGATACAAGTTCCTGCACTAAAGGGGAAGACAGGCAGAAGGAAAGTGTTTTGAATTGCCAAGAGACCCCAAACCGTGAACATGAAGGATAAGCCTGAAATTCAATCCTGTAACTGATTTATAGCCTGTATTACTCCTACGGGACTATTCTGGGTATTCAAGAGGGAGACCACATCTACAGCATGCCGAGAAAACTGATCGCCATCATGAGTGTTGTGACTTCATGTAAGAGAGTATAAATACAATTGTGTTTCTTTTTAATTTAGATGACTGAAAGTATTGATTTAGAAAATCCATCTAATCCAGGAGTTGAAGTTTATTCTTTGACTGTCAGGGTGCAAGATATCGCCTCTCCTAACTACTCAAGCAAGTATCCTCTTTACACATTCTTAAAAATATTTTTCTGTGCTGCAACAGCATGGAGAGAGGAGTACCATATGTATTTTGAATATATGCATGAGAAAATTTCACAGCCATACTTAACTATGATTTCATCTTGTGTTATATTTCCAGATACCATTTACATTTATATCAGGATAAAGCCAGTGAATGAATTTTTTCCAGTCTTCAGTAGTCCATCATATGAATTTTATGTTCCAGAAATTACCAAAGGTACAGTAAGTAGCACTTACATGATAGGAGCAGCATTGTCATGCTGACAAATACACTTTTCTCCAAACATGTTTTCATTTATTTGAATGAGGAGAGGAGAATTGCTCAAAGCTCCTGTTCAGCTGGGGTCCTGTACAATTGCCTAGCACCCCTAAATAGACAAAACTGGCAAGAACTCCAGTTGTACAGATAGAAATCGAGACAGACAAATTCAGGAATTATAGAAAAAATCTGGGACAGAGCCGAGAACTGAACTCAGATTTCTTGTTTGAGATTGTCTTTCTGCTCTTGCTAAATTAGCATTTTGAAAGGACTGCGGTAGTGCAAAGAAACCATTGTACACTGTACATGTAGACCATGGTACAGATGAGAGAGGACTCCCGTGGCCCAGGCATGGTGTTCATTCACCCCACCATCCCTTTAGACCTAGCTCACTGAGGAGGCACAGTGGGATAGGGGTGCTTGGATGGGAAGTGTGTGCTCCAACAGGCAGTGTAGCTCCTCAGGCTGGAGCCAAGCTTTTCCCCATTTCTGTCACAGCCCAGGGACAATTGCTGCAAATGTGGCCTTAAACCCTAATCCAGAAGCAGGATTTGCATTTGTCTGTGCTGAGCTCCATAACTGCTGTTTCAAACTGTCCAGAGAGAAGAGCAACAATTTTTTCTCAAGTTATTCCTCCAACTCAAGCCAGTGCTTGGACACTGGAAATAATTAGTGCGTGTTGGTGCCAGGCTATGGGGTAGCCCTTGCCACCAGAGAATTTCTGCTGTTGTTCTCTACAGATTCCTTGCATTGTGGTATTCATTGTTAGCAGACACATACGTGGGGAGCCAGACCCAATATGGTAAACCAGTGTTTCTCATGCCTTTGTTTTACTTCTTTGGGGTGAAAAATTCTAGAGCAGATATGTAGTTACACTTTTATCAAGCTTTGGCAGGAAAGAGTATTCTGTAATTCCTTCTCCTTTAAGTTTAAAATGTCAATGAAATATGGATTATCTTCTTCTTAGTTGGATCCAGTATTGGAAAAGTGACTGCCAGCGATGCAGACTGGCCGCCCAGTGTCATCACTTATTCCATTATAGCTGGAGGAGGGACCAAGGATTACACAAATGCATTCTGGATCAGCCCAATTAATGGAGATGTGAAGATTTTAGAAAGATTAGACTATGAAACAACCCAGAAACACTTTTTCACAGTGCAAGCCTCAGACCAAGAGAAGACTGCAACAGCATCTGTGAGTAAACCAACTCTACTTCTCCTCCTTGTCTCTCTTCTTGACAAGAATACTTTGAGCATCCTCTGTCATGACCTTATATTTTATTTTTTCACATCTGGTGGGAGGTGGATGGGTTCTAGGCCTGCTTCCTATTCCAGCCAAGTACTGCCCATGGAGACACTAGGAAGGAGGTACTTAATCTCTTTATTACCTGTTATATTTCAAGGCAATCATTAAGGAAAACTTAGCATCAGGAACTTGTAATCGTGACAGGTTTATCTGTTATATATTAAAATCCAACAAACACAAAAGGACAGAGCTTAGAGAGTAGTAAGCTTTTTCTCTCAACCAGATAACACCAGCTGACATTAAAAAGATCTGGTGTAACAATGGTGCTTCCAGACATGCAGAAGGCCATTACCAGCATTTCTCTTTCAGTCTGGTCGGTCTATAAGGAATCTTCATCCCTTCCATGGATCTTGCCCTGAATTATTACCAAATTGTATTAAGAAGCCTAAGCAATAATTGTGAAGCAATTTGAGACACTGGAAAGAAAGTTTAATGAATACCTGGAAATATTTATCATTTCTACTATAACACACCTCAGGTAATTCAACTAGACAGACAGATCAGATTGAAATCCCTGTGGTTTTGGAATATGATTCAAGTTAAGGAACCAGCTCCCAAAAGAGTACTGGTCACAAAAAGAAGTAAAGGTCTAAGGAACATTTATGTTTTCTGGTTGAATCTAGTTTGGAAGAGAGGTTCATTTCTCTTCAACTGCTGCTGATTTAAAGAGCAAAACTGGCAAAGCCAAATAATTTTTGAAGTTAATAAAATTCTGACCCAATACAGGTGAAGACCTTCAGTTTTTATTATTCTTTCCTTTCAGGTAACTGTCAATGTTTTGGAAGTAAATGATGAAGAACCCATTTGTTCACCAAATTTCTATTCATTTCAAATCCCAGTCAGTTTAGCAGTTGGGACCAATGTCAATGGCTTCAGGATTCAATGTCAAGATCGTGATTCTGATCCCAGGTCTTTCCGTTACTTCATTGGAGGTATTGTGTCACAGTGTGTGAACTGTGAACTGAAAACAGTGCAAAAGTGCTTGAATATTGATGGTTCAATTTGATTTGTAAATAAAAATCTAGCACAGTTTGTATGCTGCTTCTTATGGAGAGCTAATTGTGATCCTCAAGCTTCATGCATCATTATTTTGCTGCTTTTGTAAAGAGATGACTCTATAAGTTTGCTGCCATCTAGAATGATGCCATTGCACATTTGGATTGCCTACCACATTAATTAACCACAATTAACTGCATTACTGACAAGGACTTCAGTAGAATGAGGGATATATCTTAATGGTTAAATTTCACTTGCAATTAAAGTTGAGTAAATCTTGAGAAATGAAGGTGATTTCTGTTACCCTGTGTAGCTTTCACTTAGATAATGGCACGTGGTTCAAAATAATTGAGCAAACCTGCATGCTCTAGTTCCATGCTGCATGTACTAAAACCCTGTTATTAGAAAGAATGATTGAACCTATTAATCAATTGCATCCATTTGAAGAAGAGTATGGATTGGTATTCAGCTTCACAATAAAAGGGAATACACTCTCTTGGGTGAATTTATTTTGCTGTTGCTGATTTTGTAGCTGAGGTTATTGACTTACACTGCTGAAAATTTAATTGTAGTTGCTGGCATGATTTTGGTCTGTGCCAAGAAGTACAGCCTCAGAGAAATCCTGGGCATTGCTGCAGAGCCCAGGACCTTGCTGGGTGCACTGTGTAGGGGCCCTCTAGAGTGCAGGCCTTGAGGTTTGGTTATAGAGACGTGATCTGTGCTGTGCAGTTGGTCTTTGAGCCAGAGAGCTGTTCATGGCATCATTATTTGTTGCACAGTAGATGTGTCCTTCAAAATCACCTCAACTCTGGAGCTCTACAAGGCAAAATAAGCAGAACCAAGGTACTTCTGCTACCTTTCTATGGCTTTGATTTCTTTTGGCTCTGGTCAGTCCAAAGACTGCACAGGTCACCAGCAGATCTCCAGTAACCTGAGCAGAGAATTAAGAGATGAAAGGCCAGACACATCAATCTCCCTTCTCTGCCTCCTGCAGCAACTCACAGAGGGAGTTAAGCCTCGGTGGAAATTAGCCGCTCTGAGTCATAAGCTGTCATCAGAGGGAGCCAATCAATGGCCGTGCGGTGTGCTCTGCGCAGAGAAACAAGTGGTGGGAAGGGAGTGGAGGGGCCTATGAGATGCAGGTGGTGCCCATGTGGCCAAGGGGCCATTGCAGAGCCACCTCAGCAGTGGGACTGAGACATACAAGGGTTCTCACCCTGTCGTCGATCTCACGGCGACTTAGGTTACAGTCTGCCCGGCCTGCAGTGGCCTGACAGCCCTCAGGCCAGCGCCCGACCGAATCGGTCCCACGCTCCGCCTGGTCCATTCTCTCGCTATTCAATACCCCAATATGATGAGCAGCAAAATGGCGTACATCACCCAGACTGGGCTCTGCTGCTTCAGGGTGCACTCCAGGCTACAAGAAAAAATCATTCAGATGAGGTGAGAATCTCCTCTCATATCCTTGATGGCACTGAGGAGTTTTTACAGCCTTGCCTCAGCTGAGTCTTCATAGACAGTCTTACTTCATGATTTTATGACGATTTACTTAAATGATTTTATATGTTATCAAGAAGATCAAGGAGACATATGACTACACGGGCATTAAGTGATCCATCGAAGGCTGTCAATAGAAACCAATCTTTTAATTTGCTCCATGTGTTTATTTTAATGTGGGATTTTTCTTCACTTTTCTTCTTTTTTTGATGATTTGTTTGTTTTTCGTTCATTACTGTGACTTGCAGGCAATGTGAACAATCATTTCACCTTTTCACCAGTGGCTGGCTCCAACACGTCTCAGCTGATTCTTGCATCTCCCTTTGACTATGAGAATGGGCTTGATACAAAATGGATTTACAGACTGCGTGTCTACATAACAGATGACAATTTACTATCTGTCAAGAACAAGGCTACACACCTAGTTAAAACTGGAACAGTGACTTTAAGCATCAGAGTTATCCCAAACCCAACAACTGTCACTACCACGACGGTAAGTTCACTGAAAATTATGACTACCCTGCAGTTCTTTCATGGGCTAATCTGCATAAGACTCAAGAAAAGAAGGTAGATGTAAGCAAAAGGAAAGCAAAAGCCTACCGTGGGTCCAGGTTTAGGAAGCACTGAGCTTTGTGTTCTTGCACTGAAGCCAATGTTCATTGATTTGCCTGGTGTCATGGGGGATTGGCTCCAGTTACACATTTGTAATGTGTTTTGTATTGTAGTCTCTAAAAAGAAAAAGAATTACAAAAAAAAAGACCAGGCACTCTGCCATTATCACATAACTGGAAAGTTAAAGATTTTGACAGCTTTGTTAATAAGGATAGGGTAGGGGTTAACCTTAAAATTACCTCATGCACTACTTTTTTTTAAAGCTGTTTTCTACTCCAACATCCTTTACTTCTGTGTGCTTCTTTAGCGGTGGTATGCATTACTCTGTAATGTGCCTACCAAAGCCAAAATAGGCAAAGACTATAATAACAAGAAATCCTTATCATTTACAAGGGATACTTTTCCACCCAGAGGTCACCTTCAGGTAAAAGTTCAAGCTGCCTGTCAGGAACTGAAGCAGTTGTGTAGATCCTCAGCATGTTCTGAGTCCTCAGCATGTTTCAGACAGGGAGAACCAGGCAGGTGGGCTGGATGTCTCCCGAGCTCCTGGGCCCCATAATGATCCATGGCTGGTATTCTGGCCTTACACCCAGACCAGCATGCCCATGATACAACCTGCTCCTTGTCACATCCATCCCAGGGAAGCTCTGGCTCACTGGTTTTGCTTCTTGGATGATATCCACCAGGCTGGTGCAGGATATGAGCAGCTCTTGCTTTCCTCCTGCCTGCTGCAGAAGTGCAGTTGGAGGGACACAGACCAGTCTGTCCTCATCTTTGTGCTGATTACTGCTTTCATCCCTTGCCATGCCATCTTGCCATCATCCAGTGTCCATCCATTTTGTGCCTGCCTGCAGACATCATTAGTCTTTTCTCCACTGCATGCAGGAATGAGAATATGAGGATACTGAAAGCGTAAAAGAACTATTCATTGTGAAACTGTCCAAATCTGACAGAATCAGAGGGTGCTCCAAGCAGCATGTACAAATCTGGAAGCTTTGCTATGGAAATGCTTAAATTAAAATTTGTAGACTGATTAATTATTATCTACTGCTCTGCTGGGAAGGAATAAATGGTTTCCTCACAGCCTTCTCCTCCCCATTACTTGACATGGAAACAGGTTAAGCTGAATAACAAAACTTCTGTGTTTCTTCTCCCATGCCTTACCACAACTGCAAACAGTCTAGCCCACATGCCACAACATTAAATCTGCCTCCCCAGAGATACCAGCCTTCCACTTACAGACTGTTTTCCAGAAGAGCACTTCCATTACAGCACCTTCTCCCATCACCACTTGTTACCTGCGTTCAGGCAACAGCCAGATGAGTCTGGTGATGGAAGGCTGGTAGCACAGTGGTGGGAAACCCTATCACAAAGTCATTTGGTACTTCTATCCCAGTGAGGCTGCAGTGGTGGTGGTTTGAGATTATTTGTTAGTTTCTTTAAAAATTTGGTGTGCTCAGCCCTGTTGGCTGACAGCAGACACTGACACCTCTTCATTTTAAACACTTCCTTTTAATAGTTACAGATATTACCCAGTTCAGCCGTGTGCCATTTTTTGAAAGGTGTCCTTAGATGGAAAGCAAATAGATATCCCACTAAATTTCATACACAATGTGATTACAAATGTCTTACAGAAGATTTAATAAAAACTTCAGTAGATGATCAGAATGAATAGAACCACACCATGTATTAACCCCGTAGAACAAACAAGCAATTTCTGATCTGTATAGGGATAGTGTCATGGCGGGACCACAGTGAATGAGCTGTTAGCACCAAGAGAGATGCCAGCTCAGAGCTGTGTGCATGGAGGATGTGGCAGATTGCAGGTGCTCAGGAAACGTGATTTTCCCTTCTGGAGCAAGGGAAAGAAGAAGTTTCACTTATTTTTATACAACAACACAACTCCTCAGGGTTCAGCTCTTTTTACAAAGGGGGCTGAATGATCACTGCAGTGAAGATGACCTAATTCCAGTTTCACCTTAGGTAACGAGAAACCATTATCTTGATAATGGCAGTATTCCCTGAACTTCCAAACCCTCCAACAGCATGCTTACATCTTCTCAGGCAATCTGAGGCTTTCCAGCCCCATCATGGCATGCCTATTTTAATATAAGACATTGAAACACAATCTGGAAGCAGCGAGGTGGGTGGGCTCTGTTTCAGTGCCTGCGGTTACCCCTTGAGCTTATGGCCCATCTCGGTCTTCACAGAGAGGTACGTGGGATGAATCACCATCTCCAACAGATGCTATCTGCCTCTGCAGATCATGAGCAGAGCCCTGGGGCACCTTGGGCCAGGTGTCTGGGTGCAGAAGTTCAGCCAGAGGAACAGTGCTGTACAGGAATGCAGCACTGAGAAACATTTCCTATCTTGTTTTAATAGCCTGGCTTTACAGTGGTGACGAAGAAGGAGAACCTCTACTTGGACTCAGCATGGTATGTGCCATTTGTCACCACACTGGGCAGCCTGCTGCTCCTGGGACTGCTGGGCCATCTCCTGGCCAGGTGGCTCTGTGCCCGCTGCCTGTCTGCACCCCAAGCTGACAGCACACCTCTGTGAGTGAGAATCCTGGTTGAATGTTTTGTAGCCATATGCCCTCTGCTGCAGTAAGTGCAATTGCTGGCTGCAATATAAGACAATAAGATGACAGGATAAGAGGGAATGGCCTCAAGTTGTACACAGAGAGGTTCAGGTTAGAGATAAGGGAACATTCTCAGAAAGAGTGGTGAGGCACTGGCACAGGCTACGTAGGGAGGTGGGGGAGTCATCATCCCTGGAGATGTTCAAGAACCATGTGGATGTGACAATGAGGGATGTGGTCAGTGAGCAATATTGGTGGTAGGTGGACAGTTGGACTGGGTGATCTTAGAGGTTTTTTCCAAATGTGATCATAGAATGATAGAATCATGGAATCACAAGGTTGGAAACGACCTATAAGACCATCTAGTCCAACCTCATCACCATTGCCACCACAAGCACTAAACCATATCACACAGCATGTCATCCAGATGCCTCTTGAACACTGCCAGGGACGGCGACTCCACCACCTCCCTGGGCAGCCATTCCAGTGCCTGACCACTCTCTGAGAGAAAAAGTTCTTCCTTATGTCTAATCTAAACCTCCTCTGATACAACTTGCGGCCATTACCCCTTTTCCTGCTCGTTGCCTGGGAGAAGAGGCCAAACCCCTCCTCACCACAACCTTCCTTCAGGAGGTTGTAGAGTGCAATGAGGTCTCCCCTGAGCCTCCTCTTCTCCAGACTGAACAATCCCAGCTCCCTCAGCCGCTCCTCATAAGACTTGTGCTCCAGACCCCTCTCCAGTTTCGTTGCCCTTCTCTGCACACGCTCCAGGACCTCAACATCTTTCCTGTAGTGAGGAGCCCAAAACTGAACACAGTACTCAAGGTGCGGTCTCACCGGTGCTGAGTAGAGGGGGATGATCACCTCCCTGCTCCTGCTGGCCACACTATTTCTAATGCAGGCCAGGATGCCGTTGGCCCTCTTGGCCACCTGGGCACACTGTCGGCTCATGTTCAGCCGAGCATCAACCAACACCCCCAGGTCCTTCTCTTCTTCACACTCATCCAGCCACTCATCCCCAAGCCTGTAACGCTACACGGGGTTGTTGTGCCCAAAGTGCAGGACCCGACACTTGGCCTTGTTGAACCTCATCCCATTCACCTCAGCCCAGTGATCCAGCCTGTCTAAATCCCTCTGAAGGGCCACCCTACCCTCAGGCAGATCGACACCACCTCCCAGCTTGGTGTCATCTGCAAACTTACTGAGGGTGCACTCAGTGCCCTCATCTAGGTCATCAATAAAGATATTAAAGCAGATGGGCCCCAGTACCGACCCCTGGGGGACACCACTTGAAATGGGTCGCCAGCTGGACTTCACTCCATTCACCACGACCCGCTGGGCACGGCCCTCTAGCCAGTTCCTTACCCAAAGAAGTGTATACCTGTCCAGGCCACGGGCAGCCAGTTTCCCCAGAAGAAGCCTGTGAGGAACCGTGTCAAAGGCTTTGCTGAAGTCTAGGAAGACTACATCAACAGCCCTTCCCTCATCTACCAGACTGGTCACCCAGTCATAGAAGGAGATGAGGTTGGTCAGGCATGACCTGCCTTTCACGAACTGGTGCTGGCTGGGCCTGATCCCCTGGACACCGTGCACATGGCGTGCAATCTCATCCAAGATGATTTACTCCATAACCTGCCCTGGTACCGAGGTCAGGCTGACAGGCCTATAGTTCCCCAGATCCTCCTTACGGCCCTTCTTGAAGATGGGAGTCACATCAGCAAGCCTCCAGTCCTCTGGGACCTCACCAGTTAACCAGGAGCGCTGATAGATGGCCGAGAGCGGCTCAGCAATCACCCCCGCCAGCTCCCTCAGCACCCGAGGGTGCAGCCCATCCGGTCCCATGGACTTGTGACAGTCCAGACGGAGGAGGAGCTCTCTGACTGCCTCCATTGGAATTGATGGGGGCATATTCTGAGCAGCGTCCCGGACTTCCAGATCGGGGCATAAAAAGCCCAGAGGATAACTGATCTGGCTGTTGAAGGCAGATGTAAAGAAGGCATTGAGGACCTCAGCCCTCTCCTTGTCCTCAGTGACCACATTCCCTGCTGCATCAAGTATAGAATGAGAATTATCTTTCGTTCTTCTTTTGCCGTTGATATAAAAGAATTTTTTATTGTCTTTTTACTGCAGAGGGGTAACCTGAGTTCAAGTTGGGCTTTTGCCTTCCTAACTTCTTCCCTGCATACCTTAGCTACTTCTTTGTAATTTCCCCAAGAAGCCTGTCCCTTCTTCCAGAGGACGTAGACTCTCCTTTTCTCCCTGAGTCTCAACAGTAATTTCCGGCTCATCCACACCGGTTGTCTTCCCGTACGGCTCGCCTTAGGGCACTCAGGGATAGTCTGTTCTTGTGCCTTTAAGATTTCCATCTTGGGGAACGTCCAGGCTTCTTGGGCTCCTTTACCCTTGAGAAGCAACTCCCAAGGGACCCGCACTACAAGCTCCCTGAACAGGTCAAAGTCCGCCCTCTGGAAGTTCGAGAAGATAGGTTTGCTGGTCACTCTTTTGACATCCCCAAGAATGGAGAATTCTACAATTCTGTGGTCACTCTGCCCAAGACGGTCCCCAACCTTCACTTCTCCCACCAGTCTTTCTCTGTTAGCGAAGACCAGGTCCAGCAGGGCACTGCCCCTAGTAGGCTCTCCTACCAGCTGCATAAAGAAGCAATCTTCCACACAGTCTAGAAACCTCTTGGACTGCTTCCTCTGTGCTATATTATATTTCCAACATATATCAGGGAAGTTGAAGTCTCCCATCTGAACAAGTGCGGGCGATCGCGTGACTTCCGCGAGCTGCTCATAGAATGCCTCATCCAACTCTTCGTCCTGATTACGCGGTCTATAACAGACCCCCACCAAGATGCCGCCCCTACAGGCCTTCCCCCTGATCCTTGCCCATAGACACTCCACTCTATCATTCCCAACCCCAAGCTCTTCTACCTTGAAACAGTCTTTAATATAAAGGGCCACACCACCACCCTTCTTTCCTCGTCTATCCCTTCTGAAGAGCTTGTAGCCATCTATCTCAGCACTCCAGTCATGGGAGTGGTCCCACCATGTTTCAGAAATAGCAACAAGGTCATAATTAGCCTGACTCACAATCATTTCCAACTCCTCCTGCTTGTTGCTCATGCTGCGTGCATTGGTATAGACACATTTCAGACGAGTCATCTGCCTCACCCCCTACTCAAGCATCATTCCCCTAGGCTCGTCTCTTGAGAAGCTTGTTTTGATGATTCTATGACTTTATGATTCTAATGTTTGGTTTTAAGAAATCAACCAGAAATGTCCATGGATTGTTTTTCATGGATTTGCTAATAGTGCAGCAAATGCATTAGCGGAAGGTCATAGTGGATTTAGCATTATGACCTCTAATGACAGCTAAGCTCATAAGGCACAACTGGAGTCTGTACCTGTCTGTGCTGAGCAAAAATACAGCCATAGTTTATGCCCATCACAAGGGTGGTACCACATGTGCTCCTCCCGCTCAGCCATGTTACTCGGAGGCTGTTTCAAACACTGGCGCTAATGCCAAATTCTCTGTTCTGGAACAGCTTTTGCAGACTTCTTGCAGCACTCCCCTGGCCTGTTGCAAGGCTCTGACCCATGGAGCTTCACAGTACCTCCGGGTGCTCTCTCTTGGCAAAAGCCACTGGGAACAGTTCTGGTTCTGAGTGGCAGGAGATGGCTGCTGGGAGCCAAGGTGCCTGCAAACTGGCATTGTCACAAACACAGAGATAAGAGCTCTTTCATGGGATTTGGAAAGGATTTATGTAAGCGTTCTCAGGACTCGAGGTACATTTGGAAATGATAGAAAATGTAGAGGTAATATATGATGGTGATTATAATTCAACTGATGTGTGCAAGGAGTTTAGCAACTTGTGATAAAAATGACAAATGAATCCAGGAGCATATAGCCTGGCCATTGTTATTATTTATTAATGGAGCTAGTGATTCATTGGGAGGCAGGCTTTCCCATTAAAAAGCAATTTTTATATTTTCAAATACGTTTACAGTCTTTCATATATTTAAAAAGTATTATCTGAGCACAGCAGATAAAAAAAAAATGACCTTCCTCAAAGGATGGAACAAGATGAGAATTTCTGAACATGCATTTTTTCCAGATTATATAAATCCATAATGCTATAATCAATAAGAGTGTATCTTTTCATTATCATTCCCTCTTGGAGAGGTGTCAGAGCAACACTCAGGGTTGTTTTCCTGTTTGGGAACAGTGTTAAATGGAGCAGGCATTCAGTAAAAACAAAAACATAAACAAAACCAACCAAGCATATCTCAGAAGTCAAGGAAACACAACCTTCTTGCCAAGTGGAGGAGAATGAATCATGATACTTTTATACAGGGAAATTAAGACATTTGTTAACAATATCTCTCACTCTTCTTCATTGCAGGATAAATGCTCCAGGTGTGTACTTCTTTAATACCTCTCAACAGCACCAAGTTTACTATTCTGTGTAAAATTTGTAAACCCATTTCTAGACAAATACATTTGCTCCAGTACAGAAGTACTCAGATCAAACACCCTGGCTGATGATGGGATGCCAGCCTAAGTGACATCATTGTCCTTGCGATATTCATGCCTATTAATTATTAGGCAAAAACCAAATTCAGAGTAGTCTAGTTGTCTGGCATAGATGGTAAAGAATGACTGTATTTTTTATATGTTAATTCTTAAAAAAATGTTTCCATCCTTCATCAGCAACTGCCTTCCCTGTTCTCCAACACCTTTCATTTCACCCTGGCACCATTACATATACCTGAAGATTTATTGTCAAGTGTTGGTGCCTTTGCAGGGGTCTGTATCACTTAGCCTGGCTACAGATTGCACATACAAAAAGAAGCACTTTTTAAATAGGTGCTTTTAAGCGCATTTTTTTTTATCTTATTAGACCCACTAGCTTTCCCCTAACAAGCGTGGTTTGTATCATCTCATTAAGAATCCACTTTTATAACTCCCTCTACTCAATAGTTTTGCCCAGCTCGAAAAAAAACATGACTAACACAGCCCAACAAAGCTAGCTGTTCTCTTGGTTGCCCAATTAGAGGCATTTCAGCATTGGCCAGATTCCAAAAAAGTGATGCTTCATGTTTTCTGAAAATACTGGTTCCCAAGGGCTGGCAGAAAGGCGTGAAGGCTGGACAGAATAGATTTCCTATCAATGCAATGCCTCAGCACTGCACACCCAGATGCAAAAGGCCATGTTGCCAGCAAGCAGTTCTCCAAAGGATGGACATTAAACAAAATGGTGAGACAAAATCACAGCAACTAGTTGGGTACCATCCACAATGCCGTGCTGCTGAGACACCACTACATTTGTTTGCACATGGGATGAATTAATAGCATGGTGAATTCACATATAACCAAACTGTTCTTCAGTCCCAATTTGACTTGACTGGATCTGCAGCACTTCCCTGGTTTGTCTCCAAATGTTTGAATGCACAAGCTTTGCAGGTACAAACACTCACAGAAAAAAAAGCCCCACCAAACACAATAATCTGCATTTGTGGTTCAAATATCCCCCAGAGGATGATTTGCTTGCTGGTAGACAGCTAGTCCAAGCTCCTACAACACCTGAGCCCTCAAAATATGCCTTGAAGGGGCAGTATGTGGTGCACAGACCCATGATGGCTGGGCCAGGTGGAGTGAACTCACCCCAAAGAAATCCCCAGTTGTGGTGGTGTGGAGTGGCATAGAAGAAAGGAATTATTCATGGAACAAAGACATGAATAAGCTTTAATAATAAACATATTTGAATTTCTGTATCTATTCATATTATTTAGGAAGGGAATTTTATTTAAGAAACCATTGTTATTTATTCATTATTGAAGGAATAAGACTTTTCAATGTATGCACTTTGGTTAGTTATTGGCAGTGGCTGAGCCTCACTCCAAAACACTCTGAAGGTGTTCGCTTTCCAAATAGCATTAGGGATCATCCTGTGAAAAGCAGTAAGGTCTTTTTGAGAAGGCTGAGAAGTTAGGAACTAAAAATCTCTGTTTAGTGGGGGGTAAAAATGTAATATCTGGTTACATCTGATTCTTTGCTATGTGCATTTACTTTTCTGTAGAAAAGAAGAAACCTAAGAAAGAAGTGGCTTTGGTGAGTACTGCTATCCTCAGAACAACACAGAACAAAAGTTTTACTCCTAGCCCCATCATGCAATATGGTCATCTTTTTATGGAGGATGACTCTTTTCAAAGAGAACGTTGAGATGGTAAGGGAGGAAAAAGGACTGTCCCTAAATGCAAAACAGGGTAGTGTTGCAGTTGACCTCCTCATCTGGAATCAACCCCACGTGTGGTGGTGCTTACCCACATCATGGTTCCTTTGCTTCCAACTGCCAGATTCTGCAGCCTCTCTGGTACTGTTTTGTGACAAACACAATGCAGTGACTTTCTTTGCTCCCAGATAGCTGTAATGGTATAAAGATTGCAATGTCCTCCCACTATTGCACTCTGCCTTCCCAGGTTCTTTGCAGAGGGTATTCCCAACCTTCCCCTGGGTGGAGGTGACCCTCCTGTGGTTGCACATGTGGAGGTATGGTGCATGTCAGACCTTTATAGTTCTCCTTTGAACATCTAGTAGCAACATCCTTCACCACAAATGGCTTTTGTTGCCAGTTTTGATTAAACTCAGCCTACAGGAATGTGACACACGGGTCATAGAAATCCACCTCCATCCATGTAGGTCAACATTTCCAAGTCACTGCTTTCCTTGCTTACCTAATTCACAGGATTCATTTAACAATTTGTCTCTCTTCACAGGAAATGATAAAACTCAACACTGTCTTTGACGGAGAAGCCAGAGACCCAGGTAATAAAAAGCAATTAACAGTGAATATGAACATTTGGCCAGAAAGAAACTGGATGAATTGATTTAAATACAGTTCGACATTTGCTTCTCATACTTCAAGTTTGCTGTTTCCAAGGAGAGCAGGAGCTCTATCTCACAGAGTGAAAAGCAGGAGAGTGCCCTACTAACAATTCTAATGGAGGAATGAACCCACTTCCAATGGCCATTTTATTCACTGCTCACCCACATGTACGGATCTGGTGCAGGAGGTAGAAGGAGAGGAGGAATCAGCTCCTGTCCCCTGCCCTGGTTGCTGTCACAGTTCCATGGTTGGCCCTGCTAGGCAGGGGGGTTGGAACTACATGATCCTTGGGGTCCCTTCCAACCCGGGTGATTCTGTGATTCTGTGATTTTGAACTCCCCTTGTCTGAGAAACGGCCACAGGTTGATGGAACTGCAGGTGTATGGGTTCTGCATCCCAAACTGCTCCCTGGTTGCATGGGTGAGCTGATTGCTCCTGCACAAACCTCCTCCAGACAGCAACAGGCATTGCTGCCATTTCTCTGAGTCTTGAGCATCGCTGGCTGGGGAGAACAAGGAATAGCGTTTGCTTTTAGATGAACTGTGGCAGCTGAGGACCTCAGCATGGAGAAGGGTGGCTGATGAAATGGGGCACGCTCAGCCAAAATATGCCTTCAACAAACACATCTGAAAATAGGCTCAAAACAATAGGTCTCAAATTATTCAGAAAAAGGCAGGCTTGTTCTGAGCCTTGGATTAATCTGGCCAAATTTCCACCCAAGTGTCTGTACTTGTGTTTCTTATTAGCTGGCTCCAGGCTCTCTGAGGCTGTGAGCTAATAGGAAACACTAGGCACAGGGACTTGGGTGAACAAACGGGGCCCTACTGTGCAATTAAGGCCATCCAGAGAGCTGCTCAAGGCTGGTTTGGCTGGCTTCAAGCCCACCTGCTATTTATACAGAGGAGCAGAAGGGATGAGCTCTGAAGTCCGCTTTGTAACTGGATTTGTTCAACGCTAAACATTGATGTTCTCCAGCCTGCTGCTTGCCAGTGTTGTGACAGGGCAGCTGGTGGCTCCCTTCCTCACAAAGCTGATCACACCACATTTTGGTTATCTCAGCCCCCCTGAGCAATAGCACTTGGGTCATGCCTCACACAAGCACTACAATATAACATGGCTTTGTGGTTCCAGCAGAGAAATGAGGCCTGCTTTCTCCTCTCCTCTCCTCTCCTCTCCTCTCCTCTCCTCTCCTCTCCTC